CGCGGGCTCAGGCAATCCACTCACCTCAGCCTCCCAAAGGCGCGGGATTACAGGCTGAGCCACCGAGCCCAGTTTATTTTATTTTATTATTATTTTTGAGTTGGAGTCTCACTCTGTCTCCCAGACTGGAGTGCAGTGGCCACTCCCGCCCACCTCAGCCTCGACCTGCTGGACTCTGGGATCCTTCTGCCTCAACCTTCCAAGTAGCCGAACTACAGGCATGCGCTACCACGCCCAGCTGATTTTTTTATTTATTGTGGAGATGAGGTCTCGCTGCCCAGGCAGGTCTCGAACCCACGGGCTCAGGCAATCCACTCACCTCAGCCTCCCAAAGGCACGGGATTACAGGCTGAGCCACCGAGCTGGCTCCCCTGACCTTTTAGTTGCATTTCTATGGATAGCCAAGTGGTGCCAAGTCTGGCCCGGAACCTGCTCATGCCAAGTGATTGCCCTGCTTAGCATAGATGTTAAGATATGCATAGTTTATGGGAGGCTGAGGTGAGTGGATTGCCTGAGCCCACAGGTTCGAGACCCGCCTGGGCAACGAGACCTCATCTCTACAATAAATCAAAAAATCACCCGGGCGTGGTAGCACATTACCTGTAATTCCGGCTATTTGGAAGTCTGAGGCGGAAGGATCGCTGGAGCCCAGCAGGTCGAGGCTGTGGTGGCCGGGAGCGGCCACTGCACTCCAGTCTGAGCAAGAGAGTAAGACTCCAACTCAAAAAAAAAAGATATGCATAGTTTAGTCATTGATACTTACCCTGCTTGTGTGATTTAACTCAGACATTAACATATCCTGCTTGAGCAGGGCTCAGTGGCTCAGCCTGTAATCCCACGCCTTTGGGAGGCTGAGGTGAGTGGATTGCCTGAGCCCGCGGGTTTGAGACCCGCCTGGGCAACTTGGCAAACCTTATCTCTACAACAAATCAAAAAATTAGCCGGGTGTGGTAGCCCGTGCCTTTAGTTCCAGCTATTTGGAAGGCTGAGGCGGAAGGATCGCCGGAGCCCAGCAGGTGGAGGCTGCGGTGGCCGGAGCGGCCACTGCACTCCAGTCTGGGTGACAGAGTGAGACTCCAACTCAAAACAAAACAAAACAAAAAGAAACCAAAACATATCCTGCTTGTGTGGTTTCACCTTGTTTTGTGAGATTTTTGTCCTAAATAAGAGGCATGCGGTAAAATTAATTTGCTCTCTCTCGCCCCTTGCTACCTGAGAGGGAGTACTCCCCATCCCACTGTTTCTCTGTGTCTTTCTTTTCTCATTTCCTCCCCCCAACTCAGGCTCTGATCAGCGGAGGCTGGACCCCCGCATCCAGGAGAATTGAAAACACTTGTACAGGCCAGAAAACACATGTACAGGCCTGTAATCCTAGCACTTTGGGAGACCAAGGTGAGAGGATTGCCTGAGCCCATGGGTTCGCAACTTAGTGAGACCTCATCTCTACAATAAATCAAAAAATTAGCCAGGCATGGTAGTGTATGCTATAATTCTGGCTACTTGGAAGGCTGAAGTGGGAGGATTGTGGGAGCCCCACAGGTCGATGCTGGGGTGGCTGTGAGTATGCCACTGCATTCCAGCCTGAATGACAGTGTGAGACTCCAATTTAAAGAAGAAAAAGAAAAAAAAAAAAAAAGAAATCACATGTACACACAAAAACCTGCATACAAATGTTCTTGGCAGCATTATTCCTAAGAGCCAAAAGGTAGAAACAACCCAAATGTCCATCAACTGATGAATGGATAAACAAAATGTGGTCTATCCATATAAAGAAATATTTTTAGCAACAAAAAAAGCATGAAATATTGATGTATTCTATAATATCATGCATCTTGAAAACATAGAATGAGAAGCCAGACAAATATTGTAAGATTCCATTTATATGAAATGCCCAGAATAGGTAAATCTATAGATGCAGAAAGTAGATTAATGGTTCTAGGAGCTGGAGAAGAGGGAAGAGGGGTGGTGGGAGGAGGAGGACTGCTCATGGGTATGAGGCTCCTTTTCTTAGAAATTTGGTAGTGGTGATGGTTGTACAACCTTGTGAATATACTAAAAACCACTGAATTGTACACTTTAAAAGAGTGAAATTTGGCTGGACTCAGTGGCTCAGCCTGTAATCCCAGCGCTTTGGGAGGCCGAGGCGAGTGGATTGCCTGAGCCCGTGGGTTTGAGGCCCACCCAGGCAACTTGGTGAGACCTCGTCTCGACAATAAATCAAAAAAATTAGCTGGGCGTGGTAGCGTGTGTCTGTAGTTCTGGCTACTTGGAAGGCAGAGGCGGAAGGATCACGGGAGCCAGCAGGTCGAGGCTGCAGTGACCAGGAGCATGCCACTGCACTCCAGCCTGGGCAATGAAGTGAGACTCCAGATCAAAAAAAAAAGTGAAATTTTGGCCGGGAGTGGTGGCTCACACCTATAATCCCAGCACTTTGGGAGGCCGAGGTGAGGGGATTGCCTGAGCCCACGGGTTCGAGACCAGCCTGGGCAACTTGGTGAGACTTGATCTCTACATTAAATCAAAAAATTGGCCAGGCATGGTGGCATGCGCTTGTAGTTCCAACTACTTGGAAGACTGAGATGGAAGAATCACCTGAGCTCAGCAGATTGAGGCTGCAAGTGGCTGTGAGCGTGCCACTGCCATCCAGCCTGGGTGACAGAGTGAGACTATGACTCAAAGAAAGAAAAAAGAGTGAAATTTTGCAGTATGTGAATTAGATCTCAATTTGGCTGTTAAAGAAATTAGTCTAACTTGAGGATGAACTGAAGCCAGACTCAGGTCTATTATTATTATTATTATTACTACTACTACTATTAGTACTTCTACTAAGACAAAGTCTTGTTCTGTTGCCCAGGCTGGAGTCCAGTGGTATGGTCATAGCTCATTGCAGCCTTGTAATCCTTGGCTCAAGCAATCCTCTTGGCTCAGCCTCCTGAGTAGCTGGGACAATAGGCAGGCACTATAATGCCCAGTGAATTTTTAAGTCTTTTGTAAATACAGGGTCTTGCCGTGCTGCCCAGTCTGGGCTTGAACTCCTGGACTCA